TAGCATCCATGCCCTACTTTAGTCTCCGTAGCCCAATCAAAAAATCCATAACAATATCCTCTCACTTTCATTTATAAATAGGCAATAGTTGCAATAGCTCTCTAGATTTTGATGTTCAACTTTCACCATCTAGCATGTTGGACACCTTACCACAAACTCTATTATACTACAACCATGGCCACCAGGATAGCTCTTGATACATCTTCCTAGACGTATTGTATCTCTCGAATTGTACGCTTCATGCAAAATTTCTTTCCATAAATCATTTGCATCAAGAATGCAAATTCCTTTATTTGACTTCGACATCTTTTCGTCATCAATTTTATACTTCTTGATTTAACTCGCATTCAGCATGTATAATATTTTTAAAACTCTTCATCCTACAAAAAATGCATCTCATATATTGTCCTTTAAAATTGATTAAATTAACATTTAATTTAAAAGTGCAAAACATTCATCAATTGTTGACTACTGATATTTATGAATATTTCATATATTTAATGAGTTCTTTTTTTATGTGATTATCCACTTTATATTGTTTTTGTCTTTGTGCTTAATGTATATGTCACTATAGTTGCTTTATATAGATGATAATGTATGTATAAATTATAATCTTTAATAAGCTCAAGTCATCATCTTTACCTTAAATTCAACTCCTTTTGTGTGAAAAAATACCTCAAGCTTTGGTGACCCGTGAATACTTCACACCTGACTCCACACAAATATTGCATTCGTGTCCTTAAAGTAAATAACAACTACTACTAGCTCTAACCCGTGAGTAAGAGAATTTTCTCATAAGTCTTTAGCTATCCAGAGACATGCAATTACCTTTTTTGTGTTATATAAGCACGCATCTAATTTCTCTTAAAGATGCATCACTATATAGTTGAAATCCTTTTGTCCTAGAGGGAAACATCAACATTGGAGATATCATCAATCATGTTTCAACTTCTAAAGTACCCTCATGGTGATCAGTCCACTCAAAGCTCACTGCCTTGTAAGTTAATATGGATAAAGGCATTGCAATAGGAGAGAATTCCTTAACAAATCTTTTATAGTAGCCCGCTAGACCTAGAAATATCTGGATTTCTATAACAATAGTTGGTCTAAACCACTCAATGATTTATTTCACCTTTTTTTTTATCCACTGAGATGCTCCCATTGCTGATCATATGCCCCAAGAATGCTATGTTCTTCAACCATAATTTACACTTAAATAGCTTGGCATAAAATTAGCTCTACTTTGGTTCTGCAAAACTATATGAGAATAATTTGTATGATGAGTTTTATCACTAGAATATATCAGAATATCCTCCATAAATATAATTATAAATCTATCAATAATTGGTTAAACAATTTTGTTCATAAGATCCATACAGATTGCAGGTGCATTGATAACCCAGCCAACATCATCATAAACTCATATTGCCCATATCTAGTACTGAAGGTTTTCTTTGTTATGTCAACTTCCTTATTTCTTAGCTTATGATATCTTCATCATTGATTAATCATTGAAAATTTAGAATCTCCTTCTAATTGATTAAAAAAAATCATCAATCCTTAGTAACATGTACTTATATTTTATTGTGAGCTTTTTTAATTCTCAATAATCAATACATAACCTTAAGCTCTCATCTTTATTCTTAACAAAAAAACATTGAGGTTGCTCATGGGGAAAGTACTTGATCTAATAAATCCTTTCACCAATGAGTCATACAAGTGATTCTTTAGCTCTTCCAACTCGTTGATTTTCATCATGTAGGGTTCCTTTACTATTGGTTTTGCACCTTGGATCAAGTCAATGGAGAAAGTTGTCTCTCTTATTTGAGGCAAACCTAACAAATTATCTAATAAAATTTTTGGGCCCTCCTTTACTATTGATATCATCTAATTTCTTTGGTTATTTTGTTGTGTCAATAACTTGAGCTAAAAATTTTGGTACCCTTTTACTAGTATTTTGAAAGTCTTCAAACTCGATATCATCGTAGATAAGACTCTTCTATCTCCCTAAATTTGAATTCATCTTCTCCCAAGAAATTGAATTTAATTATCTTTTAAAAGGAATCTACAATTGCAAAGTGATTGGATAGCCAATCAACCCTAGAATCACTTCAAATTTAGTTAATGATAACACTACTATATTCAAGTTTCTATCATAGATATTCATACTCACACAATAGTTTTTTTCAACCATTATGTGAGACTCATTAGATGTCTAATCCCTCATAACACAATTTTTTCAAAAATAAGGAAATGCAATGCACTAGTATCAAATAAAATTTTGACCAATTTATTTTAAATCAATACATATAATAAATAGAATATAAAAGCCTAGTATAAATTAAAATTTATACATATCTAACTTAAGTAAAAAAATACATGTAATGACGCCAGGTGAGTCATTTGCTTCTAGTTGAATCATTGCTGACTTGAGGCTGCACACCTCGTGGGTTTGAATCCAAGATTGAGTTAACCCGTTGATTTAGCTCTGCTAAAACTCCTTTGAGGAGGTGGAGCACTTGTCTAATAATTATAAAAGATCTCTAGCCCAAAGTAGAGATGATCTCATCATGTATAATGGTCGATAACACAAAAGGCTGGTATTGGTGCCTGATAGACATTTTCCTCTATAAGCCTTTTCACACTTGACATAAATCTCATACTATTATTGTTGTCAGTTCCACTCCTACTACCATTACTACTAGACTTAGGCTTCTTCCAAAAGGTTGGTATTGGTGCCTAATAGACATTTTCATCTATAAGCCTTTTTCACACTTGGCATAAATCTCAGACTATTACTATTATCAGTTCCACTCATACTGTTATTACTACTACACTTAAGCTTCTTCCAACAATATTGGCCAGCTTGAACAGACTAGGTGGCCTACTCAGATCTGTATCTCTCATCTCGCTTTCTGTTCTAAAAGTCTCTAAACCTCTATGTAGATAGTAATTTCATTTGTCCTCCTTGCTCTCACCATTAGAATTGAGTAATCCTCGATGCCTAAATGGATTAAAGGTTGTATGATCATATTCATTACAACAACAACAGCAAAGCCTTAATCGCACTACGTGGGGTCGGCTACATGAATCCTTTTTCTCCATTTTTTCCTATTTAGTATCATATTTTCATTTAGTTCTAATAAATTAAGATCATTTTTATACGATAAGCCCAAGTCTTCCTAGGTCTACCTCTTCCTTTCTTAACATAAGTCGAATCTAAAACATCTACTCTCCTAATCAGGTCATCAGATGGTCGACGTTTAATGTGACCAAACCATCTAAGACGAGTTTCTCTAATTTTGTCTTTTACAGGAGCTACTCCATCCCTATCACATATATATTCATTTCGCATTTTGTCTCTAAGTGTAAAGCCACTCATCCACCTAATCATTCTCATCTCGGCAACACTTAACTTGGGATTATGCTTCGATTATGCTTCTCTTTTATCTTTTAAAGGCCAACATTCAGCACCATAGAGCATTGCAGGTCTCACCGCCTTATAAAATTTTTCTTTCAATCTAAGTTTTTTACTAATGCGATGGTAAACTAGATAAAAAGTGATGACACTTTTTTCTGCATTGGGGATCATCTACGGTGTTTATCTGGACGACATCATAAACTCAATCTCATAATGCAAGTTAGAATGGTCACCTTGCACCAATTTGATGAATCTTTCATACAACTACCTCATGACTGAAAAAGGAACAAGTCAATCACAAATTTTTCCCACTCAATGAGGTTGTTAGGTCATCCCCCATATCTTATTTACAGTTATTTTTGCCAACACCTCATCACTTCTCTCTTAAAAATGAAGATGGCTAATATGACCTTCCTCTCATATGAAATAGCATATGCGGTCAACGATATTTTTAATCCTCAACAACTAGTTCTCAGTCTATAATAATCGTTCATCTCATGAAAAATGGGGGTGGTCTTCTATCTTAGAATAGTTTCATATACTTATTCATATGCACTATCCCACTACCAAGCTAGGGCTTGAGAACATTGAATTACTTGTGTCAATGCAACCATTATCTGAGTAAATACGTCCATTGGCACACTGACACCATTGGATGGGGGATCAGTATGTGTTAGTGGAGTTAGATGTTATTGCTCAGCAGCTCTAACCTCTATAGTGTTTTCATTGGTGTCCTTTTGATTTATATTCATTGCTCTAAGACAATAAATTTTCATAAATTATAAATAATGGCACAAATATTAAAATTTCAATTTATTTTTTTTTAATGGCATTTAATGTTTTTTTAGTACGGTCATCTTTCTACTAGTCATATACTTGTACTCTCAGTCACTTTTTCCACAACCTAGCCTGAGAACTTAGATTATCAAGGCGAGAACGAATGATCAGACAAACAAAAAACTATTTAGATAGTTTCATTTCTTAAATAAAAAATTCTAAAACATAAAAGAGTGATTTTTTTTTCACAAACTTTAATCTATAACGCTAACAAGAAAAAAAAGTTAAATATTGAAATTTTATACTTATCTCAAGTTCCTCGATGTCTATAAACATACTCTATAAAATCAAGCCATTTTTAAAAAAGTTTTTTTTTTTTTTTTTGAAAATAGTAACAACTGAAAGTATGAATTAAACAGTTTAGTGGATAAAAAGCTTCTAAATTATAGTAATTCTCATTTTAAAATTTTTTTTAATAAAAAAAAAAAGATAGAAATCAGTAAAAATGAGAGGTAAAGAATTGAGTTTTCTACTTACTTCTTAACTTTCAATTATAATATCTATCAATAGAAGTTGTAATCTAAATGTTTAATAAAATCATACAATTAACATCTCCCAACACCCACCAAAAAGATAGACAATCATTTTCACTTATATTTCTATTTTACATGTACACCCTGAGTCAACACCATCCCGGATTGACTCGACATGTGCAAATGCACATATTATATTTCATTCCTTTCTTCTATTTAATTATTGAAAAAATATGACACTTGTATTTTCTTAAAAAGAATGCTAAAAGCTAGCATTGTTTCGAATTTCTTACCCATGCTAAATTCAAACTTCCAGTATTGTCCTAAATCTGCTCGAACACAATTAGTACCCAAATTGTCAAACTCAGCTGGGCCAGACTTTGTCTAATCAAACTTGATGGGCCCTTAGTTGTCAATTTCATGCAATCATTTATTAATCATTTATTTGGATCCATGTTTTATGTAGAAGGGTTATGGTCCACATATGAAGCTCCGTGTAACATTCACATTTACACAACTCTCATTCCAAGTAAGATATTATTAGAAAATACCATTCTTCTTATTATTTCAGCCCGCCCCATTCTCACAAAGCAGACTGGAAAATGATCTCCGCAAGTTCCTGCACACCAAAAATACATTAAAAACAAAATTATTTACAAGCATACCACAAAATACTTATGTATTTACATATCTAAACATCTAAATATTCATATTTACATGCATATCATTCAAATCTTTTAACATCACGTCAAAAATATCAATAAGATGTTGTAACTATAAATATCAAACGTTGGGCGTTAGATACATAAATACATAAGAAAAATGTGATATGTATGTAAATTTTCCTAAAAATAATAGAGTTGTGAAGCACCCACCTGCTTCCCAGAGGGCACATGAGGTTCACCCCATTCCATGGCCTTCTTCTCCAGCGTCTCAAAGTCGGCCTTTCCGGCCTGTTTATAGAATCAACGAGTGGGATTATCTTAAACAAATTCCCAATAAAATCTTCTTCATATATATATATTCAATAAAACTTTGATATGGTTTATATAATTATACATGCCTGAATTGAGCAGTCACATACCTCAATTTCAGCACCAATTTCCGAGTCAAAGCTCTGATATCGTTTCCTCACAAGCTCGGCAAGCGAACCATCCTACGGGACAGAGAATGTCTCAGATACTTTTTTAAAACTTTGATTTATACATGTATGCCACCATCCCTATACATGCCTAATAAGTAATATTTATGTGTTTATTATTCAAATACATAAGAATTATGTGGTATGTTAGATATTTAATAAATATATAAATTATTTCTGAAATACTAAATATAAAAAAAAAATCAACATTTTATAGAAAATTTTAATAGAAAGCTTTATTAATTATAATTCAAAAATATATTTATATAAGCTTTAAGATAATTATGGCATATTTTAATAAATATATAAGATATTTTAACACATTGAATTAAAAAAAATTAAGATAACCATGACATATTTATATAAATGTATATAGATTACAAATATATGTTATCCAAATACTTTTTTAAAACTGAAGTACACATGTTCATGCATAGGTTTGTGGCACCAAAATATTATAAATGTAAATAGAAAAAGTTTAGGTGTTAAATATGTAAATATATAAGAATTGTGTGGTATGCCATACAAATTTTCCTATAAAAAAGTAACTAAACTATTAAATATTACATATCAAACACCTAAACTTTAATTTTTATATACATACGATCTTATGAAAAAGAGTAATTCACTTTTTAAAAGTAATAATGGTTGTATTTTTTATGTGATATGTATGATTTGGGTGGTATAAATGTAAAACATAAAATTTAGGTGCTAGATATGTAATTACATAGGCATTGGGTGGAAACTTTGTAAATGCCATAAATTTAAAACTTGTCTAATAATTTAATTTTATTATCTAAATAACTTAGATGTATTTATCATTTTATATTTTATAATATTTTTAATATTTTAGTTGTAATAAAGAATAACACTTAGGTGTGTGAAATTAAGATCATGCGCATAGCAAAACTGACTTCATCTTGATACAAAATGTAAAAAGATATTCCTTAGGATTACTGAATTGTAAGAAAATTAGTCACCTCAATGAGCTTGGCAGCATTTCGGAGACCACGGGCCAAGGTGTCCATACCAGAAATGTGAGCGAGGAAAATGTCCTCCACCTCAGTACTCTCTCTCCGCCTATCAACAGCCAGTAAAACTTTGATGAGTTCAAACTCATATTCAAAATAAAATAATAATAATAATAATAATACTATAACATTGATGCAGCGCACTTAAAACAAAACATGAAATTAAACAGTACACTACGTCATAGCAAAAGAAGCAATAGAAAGCAACATCAGAAGGTAAACAAGCATACAATTTAGCATCAAAGTTGAAACCTCCAGGGGCCAATCCTCCCTGCAAAAGAAATAGCAAAGTTCAAAAAACAAAATATAACCAGCCAATTCCTATGTATTTACATATCTAACACCTAAATTTCACTTTTTACATATATACCACACAAATCATGCATATCACATAAAAAATACAACCATTTTAACTTTTGAAGTGTGAAATACACCTTCTCATGCATCGGTGTTAGATATCTAAAATATATGGGAATTGAGTGGTGTGCATGTAAATATTCTTAAGAGATATTTATGATAAGAAGAAATAAAGCATTTTAAAAAAGCCCTACTGCAACAGGCATACATTTCTAATCACACTTAGCATGACCAAAGTGGCCTCTCCAATGTCTGTAAGGAACTGATCAGTATCCCATCCTACAAAATGAAAATGTTCACCATATTAAGCACAATTCTAATGTTCATTTCCAAGAATCAAAGCAGAAAGTCATTCATTATTAGTCAGGTATCAAAAAAGTCTCCTGACTACATGGGGACATTTTAGTCCTAAAGAGTTTATAAATATGTCAAATTAATCTCCATATTTTTTTTAATATAGGCTGAAATAGTCCCTGGGGAGCACTATTTTACCCCGTTAATAGAATTTGGAGACTAAATTAACTGCACATGAGGTTATTTTATTCCTAGAGTCTATTAAAGTGTCAAATAATCCCAATATTTATTTAATATGGGCTGAACTAGTCCCAAGGGAAGACTATTTTAGCCCCCGTCAATAGAATCTAGGCACTAAATTGACACTTATATAAACTTTGGAAGAAAAAGGCTCCCCTGTAAAGAGTCAAGGGACCATTTTAATACCTTTCTATTATTTAGTCAGAGATGGCACATACCAATCTGAGGATCACCAGTGTTAGCATCAATGTTGCCCAGCAATCCATTTATTCTCGCAGTTTCAAGTTCATGAAAGCAGCTGCAAGTATCAACAATCGATAAATTGCGAAGATAAAAAAAAATTCGGTTTGCGCCGAAAGACTCGGAGTATGAAGCAAGTGTGCTAACAGAAGTTCTTACCTGTGACCAGAGAGAGTAGCATGATTACATTCAATGTTTAATTTAAACTCTCCTGAATAAGAGACATAAAAACATAGTGGTCAGTACAGTATCAAAGCAAATATGTCACCTTCTAGAACACATCTTTTCTATCTACAAGCAAAAATAAAAAAAAAAAAAAGCCCTTAACAATTTACATCAACCAAATATGAGAACTTCCTAGATAAACCAACCAAAGAATTCATCTCAACTGCAGCCATAAACAAAGTGAGGAACCATTAAAAAGGGAGCATTTACATATATAGCCCACAATTTCTTATGTATTAACATATCTCACACCTAAATTTTCATCTTCACGCACATAAGACTCAAATCTTTCATATAGCATAAAAATAGCACTATCATCACTTTTTAAAAGTGATATACACCTTTTCAAGCACAGGTTTAAATGTATGTAAATATGATAGTTTAGGTGTAATATATGCCAATACAAAAGAATTGTGTGCTATGTACGTAAATTTCCCTTAAAAAATTACCTTCAAGACTATACTTCTGTAGAAAAGCATATGTGGTAGCAGCATCCCAATCATACCTGGCAAAAAAAAAAGAGCACAATAAGTAAGATAGGTGCCCCAAGTTGGAATCCAAGTTCTAAAGGCTATAGCTATCTGCATACTGGTGTTTGGTTGGTTCTTGAGGTTTTGGTTCTATCAACAGAGTGCCTGTATAATGACAAATCCAATTCAACATCATAAAAATCATAAAAATAAAAGAGCTGAAGTTATTTCTATGCGAAGAATTTCATCAACCCTGCCACAACAAGGAAAAAAAATGGAAACAGTAACATTAAATGTATAGATGATCAATAAATTGTAAGCCCAATGAGCCTAAGTGGGTTACTGATTATACATTTGAAATTTAAAGAACCGGATTTGGACATTTTAGCAAGCAAGCTTGACAATGATGCTTCTTGAAGACAAGCCCAACATGAATGATCCAATCAGGACTCTAAGAATATGCAATGATGAAGAACAAGCAGGCATTAATCAAGATCGATATCCTGGTTAGGTTTACTTGCTTTAGCTTTATGCGATCAACTTGTAGGGTTGCTTAGGATGAGATATCATCTGGCTCTAAGGTTTCTTAAAATTTTATCTTGATTGGGGGTGTAAATTTTGTTTTACTTGTACCATGTTTCATAGCATTTGGACTTGTATTGATGGTTTAGCGGCAAACTTCAAGATTATATGAATCTTGGGTTTTGAAATAAACATTAGAAATAGAGGTAAATGATAAATTGTGATGATTCTTTTGTTACACAGTAATCATAATGTTCAAATTGATATGATAAGTTTTCATGATTTTATGAATCTTACTCGTATACAACGTGTGTTTAAAGTTAACCAAGAGATGTTGAATTTTATGATTTTACAACCATGCCTTACAAACATGAAAGCCCACTCCAGAGCAAACATAACTTGATCGATTTAAGGAAGACCTTCAAAAAGGGGCATGAAATTTTTAAAGTAAATTATAAATATTCAAATTATTAACATGGTTCTTGAAACAGCACATCATTCTCAGACATAAAATTCAAACATTTAGCTCATTTGTTTGAGCAAGTGTGGATACATTGATTTAGAAAATTTTATGTCTTCTGGAAACTGGGCATGAATTTTAATGTGCTTGCGCAATTTTTACTATACTCATGTAGCTCATTTGCTTAGTTTTTGTCCACTGATGCACTTGCACATTATTGACACACTTACATGATACAATTATGATTTTAAATTAACTTACAAGATATAGCTGCATCATTTTTTTATGCATTTACACAGTACATTTGCATTATTCTCGATCTGTGTGCATGATTATTGGTGCATTTGCATACACCTGCATACTTATTTAAACATGGAATTTGACTTGAAATTGCGTCGTGATGCTCATAGGGGAATAAATTTATTTAGATTATAAATGTTTGTGTGAATATCATGAATTAAGATGCATGCAAAATTTTATTTTTGAATTTTAATGATTGCATTCTGCCAATATTTTGCAAACTTGTTGAAATTTCACGAGTTGAATCTTGTCATATGCTACAAGATGGAGCATTTTGTTTGCACGTGACTGGATTTTATCCAGATAGGTCCCATGGTGAATCGATTTTTCTCTTATAAATAAGGAGAGCCATGGTAGTTCATTTCAACATTCAGCTCATTTTGTCAAGTGCGCAAGGCACGAGGGCTTTGAGTATTTGGTAGAGGTATGTATGATATATTCACGTCTGTAAGCAAATTTTTAGTTCTTAGTAAGTTTCCCATAAGTCATTGTGTACTCTTGCAACATATTTCCTCATTAATTTTGAATTCTTTCATTTTCATTTTGGTTGCATTTATACCAACAAAAATTTTCAATTTATCTTCTATGAGTTCATATAGTCTAAATTATGACGATTACTTGATATTTCCTCCACATAATAGGCATTTACAAAGAGTGTTAAGCCTACAGCACTCCAAAAAAACGTGTGCATAGTCAGTGTTATAGGACACTGCAGGCGTGATCTTTTATAACACTATCAAAAAAAAAAAATGTATATGTTTTTGTCATATGGCAACCAAAATAATATGAGCTCCCCTAAATAATTTAGTATCCAAACACAATAAAGTAGTCTGTTTCCCAAAATATGAAATATTTGACTGATTTGTAATGATATCAACGTATTTTGAACTTGATTTATAGAAAATCATCTCGTATCATCCACAATTCTGTCGTGTTTAGAGTGATTCTCATTATGGTTGATGCATTTTGAATCAAACATGAGCAAAATGTGTCCCCCTCTCCGTTTTTGACATTGCTTTTGACTAGATCATTTGTGGAATATGTGTAGAGGTCAACATTGACAAGATGCTTAGATTAAAAATGAATCCATGCAAAAGCGTACAAGGACGACAAGAAAAAAGGTCGAATGGTTAATAATGCATGCATTCTCGTTCCACTACAGCATTAAGTATTAGGAGGGACTAAAAACAGTACTAATGGTAAGAGTCAACGAGTGCAGCCAAGTAAAAGGGAGAGATTTTAAAAGTTTTATGTTGACATCTATGTGCTTGGGATGTGCATGTATGCAGTTGATGCCAAACCACTTAACTATGGTTAGGATTGAAATCTCTATACTTGCATTTATATCACCACTAAACACTTGAGAATATTAGTAGATTTATATTTGCACTCTAGTGGTTGAACCACGTGGTTGAATTTTTGTATGCTTGTGTGATTCAACAACAACAACAAGCCTTTATCCCACTAAGTGAGATTGCCTACATGACGCGGGACTTTGGGGAGGACCGGTTGGTCCTCAAAGGGGAGGGCTGCCGACGACCACCTTCCTTTCCTTTTCTTTCCTTTCTTTCTAGCACCTACCTTTTATAAGCCCATTCCAAATCTAAAATCTGATTATTTTTATTGAAATAAAAAATTAGAAATCTTTCCTATCCAATTTTGAATTTATGTTATTTTTATTAGTTTTCTCAATTCTTCATATAATAAAAATTTTCTAAATTATGAATTCTTATTATTCTTATTCACTTCCTTATTTTAAAACATTGCCTAAAATAAATCTTAAGCCTCATTATAAATAAGAGGTGGTATGCTTGAGATTTCTCAATTTTTGAGTTGAGTGATTTCTGAATTCAGATTACCGCCGCAAACATTGTTCCCTTCAAGGGATGTATCCAAAGACAAGAAAGTACTCCGATTGTCCCTCATCCTAGATGGCGACTATCTGTAAGGGTTTGAGTAATGCTCCGGTTGTAACTTGACCCCGACGAGGCATTTATCTCACCAAACTTTCGTTTTCCTGCTGTCATTTCAGAATCCAGCCACCGCAGCCCCCTCTTCCACTGTTGTCAGCCACCTTCATGCTCCTATTCAGCAGCCTTCCTGCTCCCTTCTAGCCACCGCAGTCTCTCTTCCATTGATGCCAACCCTGCTCCTTCCCTCTGGACTCCTTCCAATTGTTGTCTACCTCATCGACCACCTACCAGCAACTTCCATCTCTTCCCTGCCGCTGGCCGGCCCTCCCAGCAGCCCGCCAGCCTTGCTGCCCTTGCTGTCCAACACCTTCCAACCAGCAATCCGCCTGTTGCAGTCGCCTACGATTCTCCATACTTGCTTTCCTCACAATTCTCCACCTTAGCCCCCCACCAAAATTTTTTATTCCTACGCTCAACCAACTCTTCTGATTTCCGCAAACCCTAGCTCCACCAAAATTTTTCTTTCCTATTCCTTAAACCCTAGACATGCCAGAATTAATATACATACCTGAGCCTTCACGGGAGGAGATGCGGCGAGAAATCCTCCTACTTCGGCGATGGATTACAAACATGGAAGATAGAATCCAACGAGAGGCTGCCCTCAACCGTGATCCGAAAGGTCAAAAGGGAGAACGAGAAAATATGAAGATGAACTGGGAAACACAGCGTCAATTCCTACCAACTTACTGTCGTCAAAAGTTGCAGACTCTAGCTTCCGAAGTGTAGAGACCGCATCACCAGGCGGCTTCTCTTTCTTCTATGCAGTGTAACCAATCTGCAAGTCTATTACAGCCATAAGGTATTGCAAGTGCCACAGATTTGGGGATATGGAATCAGAATGCACCATCAAAGGAGAAAATTGTTTCATTGAACAAAATGTTGTTTAAAAATTTGACAACGACACAGTCGATACGGGAGATGATAAAGACTTCTGGGAGGATTCTCCACTTACAACTAGTGAGGAAGAGCGGGAGAAAACTGTTTCATTGAACAAAATATTGTTGAAAAATTTGACAATGACACAGTCGATACGGGAGAAGATAAAGACTTCCGGGAGGATTCTCCACTTACAACTAGTGAGGAAGAGCCGCCACCAGTTACAGTTGATCCCGAGATAGAAATTCCGGCAGAGGTAACAGTAAACGTTTTGGAAACCTTGATGTAATAAGTGTTCAAGCAGAGTATGAAGCTTTGGTACCTAGAGATACCATTTCACAAGCATTGAGAAGAACAAAAGTATGACTGACTTTGGCGGTCCTAAAGGATCACGAGTTTGAAGAGTCGACCACATATATAGGGCCACCACAGATCAGAGCATTGTAGATTTTTCAGATGTACAGATCTTTTCTTGAGTTACCCTTATGGAGGAAGGTCCAACATGCCAGAAGTGGGGTCATTTTGTGTCAGTCGAAAATATCACGTGGAGTTATTCAGAGGTTATTTCTTGTTACGCATGGTACCCCTCATTAGATGTCCAGTCCAGACATGAGAGATAAACCCCAGCTTTGTAATAGGCCCAAAGAGTTTGATGAGGACGAAAATTTTTCAATTAGATCTAGTTCCTATCAGTAACAAACGTGGAGTTATTCAGAGGTTATTTCCTGTTACGCATGGTACCCCTCGTTAGATGTCCAGTCCATACATGAGAGATAAACCCCAGCTTTGTAATAGGCCCAAAGAGTTTGATGAGGACGAAAATTTTTCAATTAGATCTAGTTCCTATCAGTAACAAAGAGGTCTCTCCTGAGTGGGTGCCGGTGAGAGGGGTGCTGCCTGTCACAAATTTCACCCTTCAATTGATCCCTCCCATATTAGTTCCTCGGCTGCACTCAGCCGATTACGATGAGCGGAAGAAGTAGGTTACCTCTGGAATGGCTTGATACCTATGCCGTGAGAATACTCATTTTCCTATAGTTCCAACTCAGGGCTTGCCAAAGGCGGACGGATATCAATTTTACCAAAATGTACTTTGGAACGACAACACCTACACGATCGACCTGCCAATGGGCTGCAATGTCTCAGTCACACTCAACGTCGCCAACCTGACATAGTACTACGAGGAGTTTGGAGATTCGACAAGGTCGAACTTCCCCCAACCACGGGAGACTAACGCATGGCTTTGGGATTCGACAAGGTCGAAGCTCCCCCAACCACGGGAGACTAACGCATGGCTTTGGAGAGGACCAGCCGGTCCTCAAGAGGGAAGGGCTACCGAACCCCCCTTTCCTTTTCTTTCATTTCCTTTCCTTTCCTTCCTTCCTAGCATCTTCCTATTATAAGCCCCTTCCTAATTTGAAATCTGATTATTTGTATTGAAATCTGAGATCTTTTCTTTCCAATTATGAATTTCTATTATATTCATCAGTCTTTACCTATTATGAATTCTTCCTATAATAACATTACTAAATTATGAGTTTTTATTATTTTTATTCTCTTCCTAATTTTAAAACATTGCCTAAAATAAATCCTAAGTCTCGTTATAAATAAGATGTGGTATGATTGGAGTTTCTCTGTTTTTGAGCTTTAAGCGATTTCTGAATTCAGATTATCGTCGCCGACGTTGCTCCCTTCAAGGGTTGTATCCAAAGATGAGGAACTGCTACGGCTATCCCTCATTCTAGGTGGTGATCGTCTCCAAGGGCCCGAGTAGTACTTAGGTTGTAGCTCGATCCCAACGAGACATTTATCTTACCATACTTTTGTTTCTATGCTGTCATTTCAGAATCCAGCCACCGCAACCCCCTCTTCCACTGTTCCCAGCCACCTTCTTGTTCCCGTCCAGCCACCGCAGCCCCTCTTCCACTGTTGTCAGCTCTGCTCCTTCCCTCTGGACTCCTTATAGTTGTTGTCTACCTCATTAACCACCTACCAGTAGCCCTTCAAGCTTTTCCCTGCCCCTAGTCAGCCCTTCAAGGGTTGTATCCGAAGACGAGGAAGTGCCTCGGCTATCCCTCATCTTATGTGATGAATGTCTCCAAGGGTTCGAGTAGTACTCAGGCTGTAGTTTGACCCCAACGAGACATTTATCTTACCATACTTTCGTTTCTCTGTTGTCATTTCAGAATCCAGCCACCGCAATCCCCTTTTCCACTGTTGTCAACCACCTTCCTGTTCCCATCCAGCCACCGCAGCCCATCTTCCACTGTTGTCAACCCTGCTCCTTCCCTCTGGACTCCTAGCTGCTATCTAACTCATGGATCACCTACAAGCAGCCCTTCCAGCTCTTCCCTGCCCCTACTCGGCCCTTCCAGCAGCCAGTTAGCTTTGTTGTCCTTGTTATCCAGCACCTTCCAATCACCAATCCGTTTGTCGTCGGTCACCTACGACCCTACATACTTACTGTCCTCGCAATTATACACCTTCCCCCACTACCATCAGCACTCCCTTGTTGCCACCACCCTTGCTAATCATCCTGAACCACCTAGCTGACTTCCACCACCCTTGGAATATAATCATCTTGAACCACCTAGCTGACTTCCACCACCCTTGGAATACACCTTAGGGGTGTTTGCCTAAGTCTTTTATGTTTTATGTTGTTATTTTCTGTTGTGTTGAGTTATAACCCTCTCTCTACATTAATAAAAGTTTTTTTTTAGTATTTCATTATTTTTCCTATCAGTTTCGGTATCATTTTGTATCAGAGTTTGTCCAACCCTATTCCTATCCTATGGTCCCTTGCATCCGCTCCTACCCAAGCCACCCCCACAAAAAAATTTCGGTCCTAGAAGCTTTTGACGGATGAAGTCAAAGCTCCCCCAACACCGACAGATTGACGCGGGAGCTTCCCCAAATCACGACACTGTAGTTGCTACAATGTCGTGGGCGTGCTTCTGTAGCAGCTACAAAGACTACGATCCAAATACTTTTCCTCATTTTCTTTCTTTTTTTCTCCTAATATTTCTTTCAATTTCCATGAAATCGTCTATTATAAACCCTTTCCTCTTATATTACTTCATTTTTATTCTACTTCTTAATAGAAAGCATTATCTAATATAAGTCCTAATCTCTCTTATTTATAGGGATTGTTTTTGCTTAGGAAATGAGGTTTTTAATGAATGGAGAATTATGAGCTATGTTTTTGAGGCATTCTTCCCCTTCAGGGGTTGTACCCGACGGCGATAATGTACTTCGGCTGTAACACGTCTGAGGTGGTGACTGTTTCCAAGAGTTCGGGTGGTGCTCCGATTGTAGCCCGACCCCGACGAGACATTTTATCTTTCCACAACCCACTGGCACTCTTCTTGTTGCTGGCCGCCCCGTCCTACCACCTGCCAGCTTGCTGCCTTCACCGTCGAACTCCCACTAGCCCTTCCAGAACCTGCGTTGAGTGAATAAATATTACCGCTACAGTAGCCCAGCAACTGCCACAACCCCTCCATCGGACCAACCTGCTACCGAACCCCTTTCGTCAATGTCGAACTCCCACTAGCCCTTCCAGAACCTGCCATAAGCCCTCCCAACCTACCGCTACAGTAGCCCAGCAACTGCCACAACCCCTCCAACGGATCCACCTGCTACCGTAACTCTTATGGGAGTCTGTGTTGTGTCTTTATGAATGTGCTTTTGTTTTGTTGTCGTTATTCCATGCTTTTAAGCGTCACGTCTCCCCCCCCCACTGGCCCTCTTCTTGTTGCTGGCCGCCCCGTCCTACCACCTGCCAGCTTGCTGCCTTCACCATCGAACTCCCACTAGCCCTTCCAGAACCTGCGTTGAGTGAATAAATATTACCGCTACAGTAGCCCAGCAACTGCCACAACCCCTCCATCGGATCTACCTGCTACCGTAACTCTTATGGGAGTCTGTGTTGTGTCTTTATGAATGTGCTTTTGTTTTGTTGTCGTTATTCCATGCTTTTAAGCGTCACGTCTGTAATCCTTTCAATTTCAGCAATAATATTAATTTCTCGTATTGGTTTGGGTTTCCTCCGATATCACTATATGAATCCTTTGTCTTTATTGTCTGGTTGAGTGAATAAATATTATTTATGTGCTTAACCTTGCATCTCTAACACGTGTGGAATTCTGATAAAAAATACCACCATCACATTTGTAGTTTGATTGCACTTTCTTTAACTAAAAAATTAAAAATAAAGATAAAATTGTACCGGTAAAACCGATCTTCTTCTTCCAATCAACAGCAGCTTGAAGAAAATTTGCCTGCAAAGAAATACCATATGATATTTTTCAATAAACAAAAATCAGACATTCTTTCATAATTTATAAGTTTTGAAATTTTAAAAAGAAGTTACAACAATAGCGAGAGATCACAATATATCACTGAACTTCAACTTAAAATTGAAGCTCATACCAAGTGGTCAAGTTCTCTTTTCATATCAGTGTTCAAGAGAGTTTGATACCCTTCTCGACCACCCCAAAAAACATAATTTTCTCCTCCAAGATAGTGTGTGACCTAAAAAAAGATGCGCTCAGCCGAATACGAATGAAAGATAAAAACATACATATTTGACTGATCAAAACAACTACCTCCATGGCTTTCTTGACTTGAGCTGCAGCAAAAGCATAAACTCCAACCTCAGAGCTGCAAATTCAAACTAAATAGTTAAATTTATTCATGCAAAAGGAGAAATTATGATCATGAAAAATTAGGAGAAAGCTAGACCTCGTGGCAGCACCATGCAAGTAACGAGGGTGCATGAAAAGTTGCGCTGTGCCCCATAACGGCCGGATATTATTTCCCTGCAGCATAACAAAGTCAGACATTCAACAAAAATAAATTGTTCAAGTCGTAAAAATACAATGCAAAGGATAAAGAAAATACCTTCTGAAGTTGCTTCGCAAGGGCAATTACTTCATCCAAATTTGCATTAGTTTCCTAAAAAATTACAAGGATGTACTGTTAAAGAATACAAATCTAAGATAGTAATCCTAATGAAACAAGAGCCTGGGCAAAAAACATCCTAACAAGGCTTGATCATGAATGGGGAGATTTAAAAAAGAAAAAACCTTAATTTCGTAGTTTCTACTAAGGCCCAAAAATTTTGGGAATTACACGTCTAAAACAACTTACACAATTACTAAACCCAACAACTAACCCTCCACCAACTATGCCAAAGAATCAGGACCAGTCCTATATTATTGTAAATCTAATGCCACTTGAAGAAAAAAGTAAAATGCATCAATATTTGCATTAAATTTTTGCTGCATTCAGAAAATACCACACAATTCTTATATATTAACATATCTAACATCACACTTTCATACTTACATGAACACCACTTAAATCTTTAACATCGCATCAAAAACATCGCTATAATTAACATTTTAAAAGTAAAATACATCTTTTCATGCATAGGTTTATAATAGCCAAGTGTTATAAATGTAGATATTAAACTAATGGTTCTATATTTCTAAAAACATAAGAATTGTGTGGTATGTATATAAATTTCCGTCAGTTTCTTGGACGGATTATGTTGCGTGATTGAAATGGTAAAGGGTGCATACTGCAAGTGTCTTCCCATCAGGTGCAATATCTCTGTCATGAAAGCACCATCTTTCAACACCTAACTTGTTAATGAATTCGAAGTTCGCCTTCACTGCAAATCCATTCAAGAAATGAGTTTTGGGGATTTCAACACAGACAAAAGATAAGTTTGTTTCCCTTACTTCTTCTTTTGGCCATTTCTACTGAATCTGTGCCATCTTCCCATGGCCATTTTTTCGTTGGAGCACCAAAAGGATCAGCTCCAGTTCCACGAAATGTATGCCAAAAGGCAACACTAAATCTCAGCCAATCCTGAAGAAATCAAGAACATAGTTGCCAACATTAGAAAAGGGAGAAGGAACCAGAGGAATTTAGCAACATTGGTGGCTGCAAAGAAGCCAACCTTCATTTTCTTTCCAAGAATCTCCTCATCAGCATTATACCATTTATATGAAAGAGGGTTTTTGCTATTGGAACCCTAGACAAAGATTTAGAATGATGAAGTTAGCCCTTAACATTGATTTAATTCATTACAGAAAAGAGAAATAAAAATGCTACAAAAAAGAAATCGTTCAAAAAAACTGAGAGAATTTCATCACAGAACTCAAAAGCAATCACTTACCTCGTATTTGATTTTCGAAATTCCAGGAAAGAATTCTCCCTCCCATTCATTCGACGAACCATCACCACACTTGACGCTAATGTCAGCTGGACAAGTCTGGTGCGAAGCAATCTGTAATCATGAAATTCAAAAAAATTTATAACAAAAAAGAAAAATCTCATTTTATCTTCAGGAAGAGAGAACCACACATGCAAACAAAATGAAGCGTCAAAATAGCTTACAACAGCAAAAATGACCAAATTGAAGCTCAAAAGCGTAGCAAGGAATCCCATAAGCTTCATTTCCTTGATCACACAAACCCTAGAAGCATCCTTATTAGAATAATAATGAAGATTTTAAACTTTAATCTCATAAATAAGAGCGGATTAAGGACAGTGGAAAGAAGGACCAAAGAAAATCGAATTATACTAAGCAATCTTTCTGTAAACAAAACGAATATTGGTAGGATTGTTGATCTTCAAACATCATTTAAAAAAAAAGCAAGCTAAACAAAGATAATCAAACTTTTTTCTAAAAGAAAGACAAAATCAAACGAAGTGAATCTTTATACCAAACACAGCGACAGAAGCAGAGAGAGAAAGAGGGAAGCAGCTAGAGAGAGAATGGAAGCAGAGAGAGAGCGAGAGGAAGAAGAAACGACCACTACGGTACGGCGGAGGTCCTTCTCATTATAAGGTTTATCCAACCGTTGTTGGACTGATCCGAAAACTTCATCTTTGTCGTCATCCCCGGAGCTTTCTGACAATACTAAATAGATTGTTTTCTTAAGAATATTTACATACATGTCACAGAAGTCTTATGTATTTATATATGTGCCATTTAAATTTTAATATTTTTATTTATAATATTTAGATATTGTAAATATGCGCATTAAGAAGTATATTTAATTTAAAAATAATAATAAAGATAATGATATTATGTATGTGATGTTAAGACTAAGTATTTTGTATATAAATATGAAAATTTAGGTCTTAGATATATAAATATATAAATATTATGTAATATATAAATATTATTATTATGTTTTTTAGGAAAAAAAAAGCAACCACATATTTTTACCTGCAGTATAACGTCCGAAGCACTGACAGTTAGCAGACCACGAATTATCTTACTTTTTATTTATTTGATAATAAAGTAAAGTGGTTCATTGTTAGCAAAGAGTTCGTGTTCGGTTTATTAAGAAGCTCATGATCGGCTTGTTTGCTAAGTTAACTTATTAAGAATCTCATGATCGGCTTGTTTGTTAAGTTAAAGAGTCAAACACGAACAAAAAATTGTTCGTTTGTGTTCGGCTTATTTTGACTTGAAATACTACTCATCAATTATATATAGATTGATGAGTAGTATTTTAAAAAATTTAATTTACTAAAAGGCTACAAAGATTTATAATCAATTAGAAGTATTAATTAAGAAAATAGAATAAAAATTATTAAATTAGATTCAAATGATATTTTAAATATAAACAATAATTTTTAAATCTTGCCCCAATCATTAACATCTTATGGCTACATGATTAGGGTTGTCAAAACGACTCTATGTTTGTGAACAGCTCGTGTTTGACTCGTTGTTCAGCTCGCTAAGCAAACGAGCCGAACACGAAACTCGTTGTTCCGCTCGCTAAGCAAACGAGCCGAACACGAACTCACTTTTTCAAACGAGCCGAACACGAGCTTAGCCTTGGCTCGCTCCTGTTCGGCTCGTCTTTACCCCTATTGGCATTTACATACATACCACTCAATTCCTATTTACTCGCATATCTTAATATTTTAACTTTATTTTTTACATTTATACCGCTCAAATCCTTCCTTTCACATAAAAAAAAATCACAATTTTTTTTTATTTTTAAAAATTAAAATACACATTTTTAGTATGTATGAAAATATTCCTAGAGGACATGTATGTAATTTTTTTTATAGTTTGATTGTTATTAAATATTTAATATATATTTGAATTAGTTGCAATAATTTCGAGGATAGTTTATTTTAAATTAAATAATTTTATTTGCATTTGAAGGATGACTTGCAAATATATTATAATTTAGGCCCATCCCCGTCGCGCAACAAACGATGATTTCAGTTTGGAATTTTGCCAAATTCGATTAAAAAAATATTATTATATAGAATAAATGTTTGTTAATTCTAATTTAAATCTAAATAATAATATTTTTTTCTTTATATATTTATTAAATTTTAGAAATTACTTTAAATTTATTTATAAATTTAGAAAATTAATTAAAAGCTTAATTTTACTCACTTGTAAAGCCGATTCACAAACTCGATCTCAAGAGACTTTTATTTGATTCGTTTGTCAACCAAATTAGCAGAACATGAATCCTAGTTTTTATTAGGTTATACATCCCCTTGTAATTCTTCCTGTAACCTAGTTGTACTCTGCAAAAGGCTTAAAATATATGCATATCTGTGTGAGCATTTCGTACGCATTTAGGTGTTAGATATATACTACATAAGAATTTTATGGTATGTATGTAAATGTCCGAAGAATATTCTCACATCTGAACTTTCATGTCAGAATTATTTTTCAAAAGCAAAACTAAAGTTTGCCGTATTATTAATATATTAATAAAAAAATGATTTTTTAAGTTTAATAATGATACTTTAATTTATTAAACTTTTTTTAATACTTTTAATGATCTCAATTAAATATTGAACGAGAGCTCAAGGAGTGGCAAGCTTGGCCCGATAAATGAGCTACTCGATTAATCAAGCTTGAGTCGGGCTTAAATTCGAGCCAAATGAATTTGAATCAAGCCAGACATAAATAAGTTATTCATGAGTCATTTCGAACTCAAGCTCACTCTGAATAAAAAAAAAAACAAACGAGCCAACAAAACAAGCTATAAGCCCGATCAACCCGACTCGATCACAAAGTACCATTTATTCATATGTTTAATTTTTTTTTAATTTGGGCCAAAAATTACTAAGTAAAAATATCCTCAATTTTTTTGAACAAATTTAGATAAAGCTACATGTCCTGGCAGTTTTAATAGAAAGAATAGCATAAAATCAATATAAATTTTGATTTATCACTTTATTTTATAATCTTCACAAAATTGATAAATGTGCTGATTATATGTTTATTAATTTATTTATTAAAATTTAAAACAAATCAAATATTAAAAAATCCTGACTATTTTTTATCTTGCAATAGCTCCAACGAATATTGACATATGATATGAAGAGATGTTTTAATATTCTTCAAGTTGTTATATATTTAATGCAACTAATGAAAAATTAATATAAATATTAAAAATAATAAAGAAGAAACCAAACACTTATATAGTAAATTGATGTGTGCCAGAAAATTCGTGGTGGTAGAGTAATGAATTATTGTTTTAGCGTTGTGTGAGAATTCAACACACACAGAAAACGGAAGAGAAGTAAGCGGGAGGAGATAACTCGACTTTTTATGTGGAAAACCTTGAAGGGGGAAAAACCCACGAGACCTAGTCCAGTTGAAATAATCCACTATAAATGATGAGTGCACAATTTTATTCTTCTATTAAATTAGAGGAGTTAAAATTATAAAATTGTATAACAATAATCTGACTATAGTTCTTGGTGGCAGCATGTTGCAATAGTCATTGTTGATTGTTGTGGAGGTGCTAGTTCATCGTGAGTATTGTAGATGGTTGCTTAAGAAGCGTTGATTGGTCAAAGAAACCGTAGTCAGCAAATTTCGTGAATTGTGGACCACATAGGTCGTAGTGTTATGAATGATGTTTGTAGGCCACCGAGGGAGGAGTCGGGGGCTACACGAGCTGTGAACTACGAAGATTGTAGGGGCAAATATGAATGATATATGTAAGCCGCGAAGGCCAGAGTCGGGAGATGCATAAGCTGATGATCACGTAGGTTATTTTGGCGAATATGAATAACATTCATAGGTCGTGGGGGAGAGGGGAGCCAGGAGTCGCACGAGCTATGATCCACATAGGCCGCAGGGGGCAAGTATGAATGACGTCCATAAGTCGTGGGAGTAGGAATCGGGAGCTGCACGAACTGTGAACCAAGTAGTTCATTGTTGACACATAGATCGTAGTTGTGAGCTCATGTCCCACGACGATGACTGAAGGCGCCTGGTTGGTGGTGATCGATGGTGACGATCAACAGTTGCTGACGGTTATTGATGAGTGTCTAAGACAACCAACGGTAGTTGTGGCAATCAACGGTAGTCGACGACCGTCGGGATGGTGTTGGACTTCAGCTTCTTCTCAGAGCTTCTAGTTCTCTCTTAAGCTTCAAGACTCTCTCTCATGTGAGGGGTGAAGCTCTATTTATAGTATTCCGTGTGCCATTAATGCATGAATATGAATCATTTTGATTGGATGGTCCGGAGAGCTTCCTTCAATCAAACGACGTATATGGACATTTGAGTGCTTTAACTATGTCAGAATTGTGCAATATTGGGCTCGTTGAATTTGTCTTGTCGAGACGCTCGATTCGACTATAGGCTTTCTAGGTTTTGTATAACTTGTCAGATTCGTCAACTCTTTGACCTTTCAAATGTGTCTGAAAAAACTTCTAAGAATGGTTTAATGACTTGATCCGGGTTTGATTTGACTCGGAACAGAACAAATTTGATATCATTAGGTCTGTCTCATAAAGCAAGTATATTTGACTATAAGTTTGTTGAAATGGGAGCTCTGGATGAGTTTTTTTCAAGGTTTGAACATCCCTTATTCAAAACATTATCTTGAGATTCATGTCATGCCTTGAGATTCGTGTTTGATAACGATGATTTGTTGGTGGCATATCATAAATAACATTATCTTAGACTTTCAAATTAATGTTCGCTTTTTTATCCGTAATTTTCACTTTCTTTTACCTGTATATATAGATAGATACACACACACACATAGATATATATAGATATATATATATATATATATATGCGCGCGCGCGTTTTTTATTAATTTTATAAAATTTAATTTAAAATCATAAATTTTACATTTCAAGTATTATCTTTAGGGACTGTTTGGCTTCAATAAAGATTTAGAAAATCTTATACATCACTTTAACCTTTTATCCATAATTTTCCCTTTCTTTTATTTTTATGCATGTATGTGCATGTGTGTGCGTGTGTAATCTAATTTTTTCTTTATTTTATAAATTTTAATTAAAAATAATATATTTTTTTGAAACTTTTCAAACATTATCTTTAGGGACACTTTGGCTTCAAAAAGGATTTAGAAAATCTTATGCATCTTTTTAATTCTCTCACTATACAATCATGATTAGAGCTGGTGGAAAAGACAACGCCAAGAGGAGGCATACAAAGACTTAAAAGCTTTCTTCCACTTCACTCCTGCCTAAAACCCTTAAGAAAGGTAACCTTAATCTTTCTCCCCTTGCTTCTATTGAAAACTTGGCGGAATCACAAAACCAAAGATTTGATTCATAAAATATTAGATCATTTTATGTCAAATCATCTAAGAAAATAAAACTAAAGTTGGGAAGCATAAATTGATTCATGATTATTTTAGTTGTGGGTTATTGTCTTCCAAATAGATGTGTGTTTCTTAAATCTTTTCTATGGATGAGATACTAAACAAGAGGTATTCTCTATGTTTCTTTTGGAAAAGTGAAGAGACACTTAGACACACATAAAATTGAGACTATAAGAACTTTAAAATAACTACATAATGGATAGTCAT